CCCCCCCCCTTTTAGGAAATCCTGGATCCGCCCCTGAGTTATCATATCAAAGTCTGCCACTGAGGACGGTTCCATCTCGGAAGTCTTACTCATCTCATCCATATACAAGACAGACAAAGGGAACGAAAATATACCGCACGTATAGCGGATGGCTAACCATCGGACCGGTTACAAAGTAAACAAAGAAAAACAAAGCAAAAAAAACCCGATCCAGGAGAAACCGACAGAGACCTTATGGATGTAAAATCCAGGAGGAATTGCCTACAGGTTCGCCTATAGAACGAAGTAGATTTCGGCAGAAACGCAAACAAAGAGTGAAAATCAATGGCCTCGAGGCCGATTCCGAAGCCCTCCCAAGCAACAGAATGACCCAATACTTCGTTTAGCTGAACAATGGTCAAGAGTACGAAATAATTAAATCAGAACGGCCAATAATGTCTTGTTGTTATACTGTGTATAAAACAGCTTGATGTGTTATAATTAGTGGACTAAGTGAAGTGTTGTTATACTGTGTATAAAACAGCTTGAGGTGTTATATTTAGTGGGCTAAGTGAAGTGTTGTTATACTGTGTATAAAACAGCTTGAGGTGTTATCATTAGTGGGCTAAGTGAAGTGTTGTTATACTGTGTATAAAACAGCTTGAGGTGTTATAATTAGTGGGCTAAGTGAAGTATTGGTATACTGTGTATAAAACAGCTTGAGGTGTTATAATTAGTGGGCTAAGTGAAGTGTTGTTATCCTGTGTATAAAACAGCTTGAGGTGTTATAATTAGTGGGCTAAGTGAACTATTGGTATACTGTGTATAAAACAACTTGAGGTGTTATAATTAGTGGACTAAGTGAAGGATTTAGAAACCTTAAGATGATGATCAAACAGATGTTTAATTAGTGAATACAACAAACTGATATATTTATAATTGTCTACACAAAACCTTTGGTTTATGATCAAAATGTCTGTTTCTGCTAAATTGTTTTGGTCGTGTCAATTAAAAAGAAACCTACAAGTAACATTCATAAAAAGCATAAGTTTGAATTTATAACAATGAACCCTACTTAAACACAAATTTAAATATCAGGACTACGTTTCTCCAAAAAAAAATAATTAATCCATCATTGCCTGATCTACAAAATGTAATATTATTATTGTTATCTAATGACCCACAGCTTTTGCAGGAATAAGCCTCTTTATTATAAAGTCATTTGAACTGAGGAAGGCAGGCTTGCAGAATGCATAAGTATCTAGTTTTTGCTGTCCATTATTTAGTATCAATGTTTGTTTGATGTTTGCAGCTCGATCCTTGTAAATTGGATGTAAAATGCAATAAAGATGATTGATTGTATAATATTATCATTTATGTTCATGCATTGTGTGCTTCGGTCACCTTGACTGCAGGTGTGCTTGACGTTGAAAAAAGCCGTGAAATCTGGCTAAAATTATGCAGAATTTACGCGTATATGCTGTGTTTTACATTTTGATTTCCACCAAACCGAATCGTACAATAACGAGAGTCTGGCATTGAAAACCTTCAGGTGTGCCACGTTACATCTAGTGTAGACAATGTAAAACGCTTAACAATACGAGTCCCCGACTTACGATGAATGTATATCACGATAAACGGGTTTATAGATGTACCTAACGAATTCTTGAGTTAACGATCAGCTGTGAAAAAAGTAACGATTTTGAGTTTCCTCTGAACTTTTGTCCACCTCGACAAACCGTACGTTCTGTTACCTCTGTTTACACTGTCTCTAGTCTCCCATTACTCTACGTAGTGTAAGATGTTATGCGTGATAGGGTCACACAGTCCTGATCAAGGAGTGTCGGGCGGTGACCTTTCTGGACAGGGATGCTGTCAATCTACAAACCACTGTAATTAGCCTATACAGGTGTTAGAGATTGTCCGAGAGTGCTTTATTCCGTTAACAAAGTGCTAATAAAGGCAATTGTGTGTCGTTCAGTTCATTGTGTGTCAGTGTAGTTGGATGAAAGACATACAAAGTTGTTAACCGTAAACTCCCACCGAACTTTTATATTTACTCACAACTGTTCCTCTTCGTTAACTCTTGCGTGCCTTGTGCTACGCCCTCACTAGTGACAAGTGATGCGTGTCAAGACAGGTAACAGGCAAGCTTTAAACTGTTTGTTGACGATCGTTTTTCGGAAGGTACATCAAGCCGGAAGCGATTAAGTAACTACAGGTCACATATAAACAGTACAAAACTCCTGATTACTGACCACTACATCGGACTACGGAGGTTATTGTCGGACTAGAGAGGTCAGGAAATGGCACAGATTCCGGAGAAAGACAATGAGGTACGTGTATCACCTTAATAATGTACGTGAGCTGTGTGGTAGTCTTAAAAGATGAACATGTAATACTGAAAAGGAGCTCTAATGTATACTGACATGTCTACTTTGAATATATGGGCACTGGAGTTTACTGACAGATGTACAGCAGATATATGGGCACTGGAGTTTACTGACAGATGTACAACAGATATAGGGGCGCTGGAGTTTACTGACATATATACTACAGATATATGGGCACTGGGGTTTACTGACAGATGTACAGCAGATATATGGGCACTGGAGGTTACTGACAGATGTACAGCAGATATATGGGCACTCGAGTTTACTGACAGATATACGGCAGATATATGGGCACTGGGGTTTACGGACAGATGTACAACAGATATAGGGGCGCTGGAGTTTACTGACAGATATCCATCAGATATATGGGCACTGGAGGTTACTGACAGATGTACAACAGCGTTTACTGACAGATGTACAACAGATATATGGGCACTGGAGTTTACTGACAGATGTACAGCAGATATATGGGCACTGGAGTTTACTGACAGATATACGTCAGATATATGGGCACTGGAGTTTACTGACAGATGTACAACAGATATATGGGCACTGGAGTTTACTGACAGATGTACAACAGATATATGGGCACTGGAGTTTACTGACAGATGTACAACAGATATATGGGCACTGGAGTTTACTGACAGATGTACAACAGATATATGGGCACTGGAGTTTACTGACAGATGTACAACAGATATATGGGCACTGGAGTTTACTGACAGATGTACAACAGATATATGGGCACTGGAGTTTACTGACAGATGTACAACAGATATATGGGCACTGGAGTTTACTGACAGATGTACAACAGATATATGGGCACTGGAGTTTACTGACAGATGTACAACAGATATATGGGCACTGGAGTTTACTGACAGATGTACAACAGATATATGGGCACTGGAGTTTACTGACAGATGTACAACAGATATATGGGCACTGGAGTTTACTGACAGATGTACAACAGATATATGGGCACTGGAGTTTACTGACAGATGTACAACAGATATATGGGCACTGGAGTTTACTGACAGATGTACAACAGATATATGGGCACTGGAGTTTACTGACAGATGTACAACAGATATATGGGCACTGGAGTTTACTGACAGATGTACAACAGATATATGGGCACTGGAGTTTACTGACAGATGTACAACAGATATATGGGCACTGGAGTTTACTGACAGATGTACAACAGATATATGGGCACTGGAGTTTACTGACAGATGTACAACAGATATATGGGCACTGGAGTTTACTGACAGATGTACAACAGATATATGGGCACTGGAGTTTACTGACAGATGTACAACAGATATATGGGCACTGGAGTTTACTGACAGATGTACAACAGATATATGGGCACTGGAGTTTACTGACAGATGTACAACAGATATATGGGCACTGGAGTTTACTGACAGATGTACAACAGATATATGGGCACTGGAGTTTACTGACAGATGTACAACAGATATATGGGCACTGGAGTTTACTGACAGATGTACAACAGATATATGGGCACTGGAGTTTACTGACAGATGTACAACAGATATATGGGCACTGGAGTTTACTGACAGATGTACAACAGATATATGGGCACTGGAGTTTACTGACAGATGTACAACAGATATATGGGCACTGGAGTTTACTGACAGATGTACAACAGATATATGGGCACTGGAGTTTACTGACAGATGTACAACAGATATATGGGCACTGGAGTTTACTGACAGATGTACAACAGATATATGGGCACTGGAGTTTACTGACAGATGTACAACAGATATATGGGCACTGGAGTTTACTGACAGATGTACAACAGATATATGGGCACTGGAGTTTACTGACAGATGTACAACAGATATATGGGCACTGGAGTTTACTGACAGATGTACAACAGAGATATGGGCACTGGAGTTTACTGACATATATACAACAGATATATGGGCACTGGCGTTTACTGACAGATGTAAAACAGATATATGGACACTGGAGTTTACTGACAGATGTACAACAGATATATGGGCACTGGAGTTTACTGGTTGGTTGGTTGGTTGAAGGGTACGGGTTTCATCTCACTGACGGAAGTCGGTGTTCTGTCGGCGTGAGGGAAATTGCCTTACCTCGTACATCGTAGGTAACCTACCCTCGTACATCGTAGGTAACCTACCCTCGTACATCGTAGGTAACCTACTCTCGTACATCGTAGGTAAACTACCCTCGTACATCGTAGGTAAACTACCCTCGTACATCGTAGGTAACCTACCCTCGTACATCGTAGGTAACCTACCCTCGTATTCCAGGTACAAAACTACTCCAAACATTTCTTTTAATTAACCTGAGCCCACTGCATCCGAACTTTTTAACTAAGAGCAAACGCAACAGCAGCTGAATTTTAAGTATGTCCTTGCTCTACATCCCACTACAACCATGGTCGAGCTAGACAGTTGGCGATCGGTATATTATCATAGTATCAACACTGCAATTGCTTCTCATGAATGGTCATACTATTGATTAGGGTGTGAATTAAAGATAGTATGGAATCTGCAGGAGACTGCACCGGACAAAGGGCAAATTAAATGTAGGCGCATCTGATTCACGTTCGGTATTGGAAAAATCTATCAAAATATGATTAGAAACAAGGCTGTATTTCTTGATTCCAAAGTATAAGTTGTAGTGGTGTCTGTAGACAAAGTATTGATAACCTTACCCTTGTCTACACACTATTACATACCCTTTTTTGCAAAAGTAACTTAAGTGATGCTTAGATATACATTTGTAGCTAGCTAGATAGCAAAAGTGATTATTGGAATGGGACAGAACCCGCGTCAAAGATGCTTAGATATAGCTAGCTAGATGGCAAAAGTGGTTATTGGAATGGGACAGAACCCGCGTCAAAATATGACATCAGTGATGAGCTAGATAGCAAAAATGGTTATTGGAATGGGACAGAACCCGCGTCAAAGTATGACAATGCCAGTTAGGGCTAACGCTTTATAAAATAATCAATAAAGTACAGTATAACATCTGATTATTTTTTCAGTCCGTCTAATCAAAGAATAAAAATCAAATGTTGTGTAAAAGTACCCACTCACGATTAAAACCAGACACTGTGTGACTTGTAAATTTGCCCTAATTGACATAAATGAACTTTGGTCAGGCAGACAAAACTGCTGGCAGTTTTGTATTACATACAATGGAGTGATAGCAAGAGTTTACAATTCCATTTTTGTTGTCGAATTTTGCGAGGAATTCCACGTCTCCACACCCCTATCCCCATAGAGTTGTAGCGGAACTAGACTGAGTCGATCGTCGGCGTCGAGGTAGCTCAATTGGTAGAGCGTCCGTCTAGAGTTCGGAAGGTCCCATACTCGAACCCCGGTGTTACATTTCAAGCGTTTGGTGTATGCTTGACAAGGGGATACCCGGACCTTGGTTGTAAATAGTTGTGTTTTTGGCGGCGAAGACTTAGAAAAACGAAGGAGGAATGCAGCGTAACTGGACTGGGTCGATCGTCGGCGACCAGGTAGCTCAATTGGTAGAGCGTCTGTCTAGAGTTCGGAAGGTCCCGGGTTCGAACCCCTATCTGGCCATGCATTCCTGTTACAGAGTAAAGATGGTACGATACCATCATCTAAGCCGAACTCAGCTGAGTTTGCAGTCTATACTATATTACCCTAAATCTTACATATGAACAAATTAATGAAATTATTAGTCACAACTCATACAAACAACACAAAGTATGGTTTTATAAAAGTTAGATTTTTAAGATCACTTGCAAGTAGGACTCATAAATAATTGGTAGCCAAAAAAAACTAGAGATCAGTTTGATTTTTAGTAACACGTAGCTTTTTTCATTAAAACATTCTTTTATAAATAGAAAAAAAAATGTAACCCCAAAATGTATGACTAGGGGTACTTAAAGTTTCTACACCGCCTGCCATACTTTGAGACACTGACCAAGTTTGAGTTACGGCTGTATAGTTACATGTAGTCTGACAGTAGTGACATCTCCAGCCGGACGAGTGGTTTCTAAAGAACGAAAGCCCTATTGACTAGTCTAAAGTTATATTGTTTATCTTATTGAATAGTATTGGCTTAGTGGAGTTTGCGAATGGACGAGTAAAAATTGGAAACTACTATCCTAACTGATTAGTGGTTTTCAGAATTAATTTCTACCCCTGCGGATGCTAGATTTTCCTGGCATTCAAAGTTGATAACGGTATAGTTAATTTGTTATATTAGATGACACACACTTTCCTTACATTCTCATTGGTTGAGTCATACCTTAGTGGGGTCGGCGACATTTTTTTATATTAACTCAGTGTAACTATTTTAAGACACAAGTGGATTCTCACTTGACGTCAATTCAATGGTAACGTCACAGTGCTCTCTGCCAAATGCAGCACTTTCCTCCGTACAAGTTCGACCAAGACAATAGTTTGCATCTAATAAATCAATTAAAGATTTTACTTTCTCGTGTTTATAAAACCACATGTTCACCTCAACAAAAGTCCAAAAATTAAAATTAAAAAAAGTAAAGTTATAATGACCGGCTTTAATCAAAATTACGTTAGCTAGTTACAACACATTATGTATGGCGTCATCAGAACCATACTAGATAACATACATTTTCCCTCACATTCTCATTGGTTGAGTGCATTCCCTGTATTTAAAGCAAGATATGATTTGTTAATTTCGATGTATTTCTGGGGAGGGGGTGTCAGAAGAAGCTTAATTTCTCAGAAAAAGCTGGAGTTGTTGAATCCATACGTATTACCGGAAAGTATAAGTTGTTGACTATGTGTTACCAGTAGGTTGCTCGGTATCATCAAAACAAAATCTACACAGTCTGGACTTATGTAGTGATCTATCCGAATGATCTATCTGGTGAATAAAATTAGTCACCTAGCCGATGCAAATAGCTGAAGTTTGTAAAACTACACATGGATGCCTTACTGCAGTTACCTTCAACAAACCTGTCATACATCAACTGTAACACGTTATCTTCTGTCACAGATCACAGAAACAGCCGTGACAGTAGACGCCGGATATGATCAGAAAGGAGCAAAGGAGAAAGGCGGGGGCTCTGTGGACACTTCCGGTAAATTGTCGGATCTGCTGTACAGTGTGGAGGAGGTACCCCCATGGGGTCTTTGTATCCTCTTAGGATTTCAGGTAAGGGGCACCAGTGGGGAATCGGTATCTTGTAAGGATTTCAAGTAAGGGTCAAGAGGCGTTTATAGAGATGCATGGAGAGTTGCGCAAAGCCACGAAATTCTGTGAGAGATTGATAAATTAGTAAAAAAATAAAAGGACAAGTTTGTCATCTGCTTTATTTTGCGACGCTACTTCATCCTCGTATTTTCTAGAGAGCCCCTGGATAGTGGAAATGTAGATAAATTACCCGGAGAAACTCGAGCGCGAGAGTTAACACGAAGTTTCATGTAGAGCTTGTCTGATGTTACAGCACTACCTAACAGCATTCGGAGGGATCGTGACAGTACCCCTGATTCTGAACGGAGTGTTCTGTATAGCGGAGGATAGGGTCGGTCTAAGTGAACTCATCGGCACCATCTTCTTCTGTTCCGGCATGGCTACGCTTCTACAGACAACTCTGGGAGTCAGGTCAGTATTCTGTGATTCTTCAGGCCCCGTCATGATCACTATTGCAGACCATCGTGAGAGTTAGATAAGTATTTCTTATAAAGATCCGATATGTATTGATTCTATGATATTTGTTCGGAATAAGATTTTCTGTTGAATGAAAATCTGGTAAAGAATCCTTTCACTTGATAGTCGTCTCACAAAAGTTAAAAAGACGGTGAATACATCTGTTAAACTGATTATACATCGTATAACTCCATTTATAGTAAAGAACAGATGCGTCATTTAATTGTTTAATTGAAAAGTCAAAAGCGCATGTTCACAGATTAATGGATGGGACTAACCTACCCAACCGATCCATCACTGTTGATATGCGCTTGTGACTTTGCAATGAAAACGATTCTATGGCATATTTACCAGAACGTCTTTCCGGTGACATCAGTAATATTTATGAAAATGAACTGTTTTTAGATTATATTAACTGACTGTAACTTTTGTAACGAGAACCGACCGGGATTGATTAAATACTGGTTTCCTAGAACATAAAGCAAAACACGGTTCAAACAGTATATACAATGTATTTACAATATTCATCACACAAAATCAGAATGGCTCTCTCTCACTATCAACTCGCTAACGAATGACATGTAATAGGTACATATATATAACTAACTGATATTACAAAATGCCATATCAACACCCTAAAGTCTCTGTAGCTTGTTGGGAGCTGTTGTGTCGTCTCCATTGTTGATGACGCCGTCCTCCCTTAGACTTCACTTGTCCAATCTCAGTGAAGTCCCCTCCAAGCTCACAAACACATATAGAACGTAGCGGGTCACACAGATCCAGCAGGTACAGGTCACACATACCAGTGAAACATAAACAGGTCACACAGACCAGTCAACTGCAGGTCACACAGACCAGTCAACACTCAGTCACACAGACTAGTTGGACACAGGTCACACAGACCAGCCCAATGTACGGGTATAAAGTGTTACCCTCTCCATGGCCACACAGGTCCAGGTAAGTATATACATTGTTCATTGTTCAAGTTCTTTATTACTTTTAGTCGGTTGACTTATCAGTCATAACATATATACAAAACAATACAGAGACAACATACAATATGATACACACACACACACACACACGCACACACACTCACCTACACACACACACACATACACAACTCAACTTTTATTCCTTAAGTTTGACAACTTATTGGATAACTATACTTTACAATAAATTACAAATGATATATACGTATATGCAATCAACACTCATTATCACTCCCACATCATTATTGTGCATTCAACAATCATTAACGCTCTCGCATCATCATCATCATCATAACCATCCTCTTCATCATCATCATCATCATCATCATCATCAGCATCATTAACATCTGACATTAACAACAACAACATGTAATCCGTAATGATACAAATGTCAATAATACATAAATAGACATTTATATAAATTATATTGATGTGCATGTTTACGTCACTCGTGCCTTATTTGCCTCAAAAATGTATCTAGCAAGTTTACGAATAACGCTGATATTATCAGCACTTAGTAACTGTACAAGTTTAAACATTGAAGGATTTCGCCAGTAATATGGTTTTATGTATTTTACTCTCAGAATATGAAAATTGTTACATATTAAAATAAAATGATATTCGTCTTCAATATCTGAAATGCAGCTCATACAGTGTCTTTGTTCTCTCGTTATGTTATTGTATCTACCAGTCTCAATAGCTAAATTATGTGCAGAAAGACGAAGTTTAGATAAACAGATCCGGTATTTCATTGGAATATACTTTGTCAAATAGTATTGAAGAGTATGGTGATTTGCTAAGTGCTTATATAAAATACATTTAGGTGAGGTTTCTAATAGCCCTCTCAGATATTGTTGACTTTGATCAAATATTCTTTGCTTTATCATGTACAAAATACTTTTATGGTTATATGAATAATAATTTGTCCATACATCTGCGAATCCGAGAGAAAAAAGACAATGTTTGACATACTTAACCCAGTTAAAGCAATTGCCTGTATTGCTACTACTTAAAAAGGAATACGCAGTTTGCAAAATACAATTTTTCGAATCCATTAGTTTTAACCAATATTTTATCATTCTGAATTTTCTTATATTTTCCAAAGGATGTCGACCTAATTCAAAATAAACCATTGCGTTGCAAGTCGACTTCTTAACTTTTAAAATCTTCTTACAAAAGTGTAGGTGTAACCTCTCAATATCCGTACCTTTTGTAGATCCCCATACTTCACATGCGTAATGCAATATACTACAAACATACGTATCAAATAAATGCAATAACGTTGTACAGTTTAGGCTCAAGTTAGAAGAGCTTGAAAAAAGAGCATACATGGCCTTTCTTCCTTGGTCAGATAACTGTTTCTGTATATGATTAAATTTATTATTGAATTTCAGTTTTACTCCTAGGTAGCTGAAAACATCTACAACTTCCACCTCCAAACCATTATACATCCATCTTTCTCTATCTCGTATACTACCACCGTTTCTAAATACAACTACTTTGGTTTTCTCAGTGTTAACTGTTAATTTCCATTTAGTAGAATACACATTCAGATTATCTAAAAGACTCTGTAAACCTTCAATAGTTTCGGAAAACAATACTAAGTCATCTGCATACATTAACAAAAACAAACTTAATTCACCAAAGTCATAGTCCGTTGCACCATTTTCAATAAATGAGGTTTCAAAATCATTAACAAAAACTGAGAACAATAAAGGCGATAATATTTCCCCTTGCATTAATCCAACACTGCACTCAAAATAATTAGAACATTTACCGTTAGTTGATACACAAGATTTAACTGATTTGTAAAATGATTTAATGACGGATAACATTTTCCCACGAATACCAAGCTTAGTCAGCTTACGCCATAAGCTTAATCTATCAACAAAATCAAACGCTTTGCGAAAGTCCACAAAGCAACAGTACAAACGTTTCTTTGAAGATAAAGTTTTCGTTATAATAGAATGTAATGCGAAAATTGCATCAATCGTACTAAGTTCTGGACGAAATCCGAATTGCGCATCAGTAATAAGGTCATATTTTGTACACACATCTAAAATACGTTTATTTAGTACAGAGGTAAAAAGTTTACAAAGACAACTAATTAAACTGATACCTCTAAAGTTATTAGGGTCATTTAAAACACCTTTCTTATGGACAGGAATAATTATGGCTGACGACCAATTAGAAGGAAAATAACCAGATTCTAGTATAGAATTAAACAACGTAGATAAAGTTGGAAGAAGTAATTCCACGCCAGCTTTTAAACATTCATTTAACAAACCATCAGGTCCATGTGATTTACCACATTTCAATTTCCGAATAGCATTTTTTACTTCTTGTAACGAAATAGGAGCATCTAATTCCTCAAAAACAGTGTCATAATCAGTAAGAATAAAATCGTCATGATGGACTGGATCATTATTTTGTTGTACAGAAGACAGGTTTTTGAAATGATTGAACAGTTGATTACCATTACACATTGGTGTTTTAGCTTTCTTCTTACCAAATTTCTTATAAAAAGACCCGGGGTTATGTTTTCTCATATACTCCAACATATCACCTTCTGCGCTCAAATATTGCCTCTTAAACTTACTTTCCAGGATTTTGTACTCTTTTTTCTTACGGATAAGAAGAGTGTGTGTCCAGTAACATTTGTTAATGTTGAAATTCTTTAAAGCAACTAAATATTGTTTACGTAGAGCTCTAACACGATCATTAAACCAGGGCTTATCTTCGGAACTAGAAAAGGTGTGGGTGTCAACTTTAACAGGGGGCTTATCAGTGTTATTTTTGGGCGGTTTTCTTAGAAAAAATGGTTTCATAGTCCCTAGTAAAACATCAGTAAAATTACTTACACAGGTATCAATAGAATATTGATTTAATTCATCATTGATTAAAACTGATTTCTTTATTAAGTCTAAATTAACTCTTACAGATTCGATAAATTGATGTTGGTACTCCTCCTTCCATTTATACACAGGTCTATCATTAGAATTGTCATCATCATA